GGAGAGAGAGAGAGAGAGAGAGAGAGAGAGAGAGAGAGAGAGAGGAGAGGAGAGAGGAGGAGAGAGAGAGAGAGAGGAGAGGGAGAGAGAGAGAGAGGAGAGGGAGAAGAGAGGCGAGAGGGCTGCTTCCTCAAGAATAACACTAGTGACGATGAGCACCACCGCAAACGTTGGGCTTTCAGAATATGTCGCAATTATGTCTTGATATGGTTTGACCAGAGTCTGCCGGTATTTGCTCAAGGTCGGTTACACCGCACAATTACCCATGTCGGGAACCGTGCGCAGTCTTCCGCCGATTTCAACCAGAAACCAAAACACAGAGCCGCAGTGAGTTTCAAGTTCATGACCTCGCCGCCGTCTTTTCAGGGAGCTTAGGACGTGCTGTCCCAACCACATCATTCACGGAAGCTCATGCCTGTCGGCAAGATGGGTGCCGGCTGAGCTGATATTGGAAAACGTTGATTGTTCATACAACTCCGCGCGCAAACCGCAAGCAGGAAGCCGTTTCTCCCCAAGGCTTCGGTAAACATAGATCGCATCTGTACAGGACATACGATGACCAGCGGCTCGGCTTGCATCGGAGCCGTATTTTTTCGTACAATATAGACCCTTCCTCCGGCTGCATGGTGGGATTCGGCTTATTAAGTACGGTGCCAAAAACGTTGAACGGAGCAAGACAGCTGCATGTAAGTCTGCTTCCACATGCCTCCAATCCTACGCTTTCTTTATTTTCTAGAAGTGTCCGTAACTTGCATGGTATGGACTCACTCTAGATCTGCTCCAAGAACGTACAATGGGAGCGCCACGGACAGGGAGTGGAAAAAAACCCACGCCTGGCTTTCGTAGAGATATGTCAGCTTGCCACCACCGCATAAGCGTCTGGTTCACAATGACAATCTTCGAAAACCGGTAGACCTTAGCCCTAATCCGTGGCATTCCAGGGGGCCTCAAACTGGAGGTTCTGTTTGAGCAGTCGTTAGACAGCCGATCGTATCGCTGCATTCTGACTTCACTGAATGATTGTGTGTGCGTGTGTGTGTGTGTGTGTGTGTGTGTGTGTGTGTGTGTTGTGTGTTGTGTGTGTGTGTGTGTGTGTGTGTGTGTGTGTGTGTGTGTGTGTGTGTGTGCCGGGTGGCTACCGCCATAAAATGACCGCCATTCGCGGTCCCAAGCGAATAGCGAACGATTAGTCTGTCGCAAAAATTCGCGTGCTTTGTGTGCATATTCATCTGACTGTTGATATGGCAGCAATGCGCGGGCCGACAAGCGTACTGGCTAAGCTGCGCGTCTGGAAAAGCAGAGGCACAAAGCTCGATTTCCAGAGCCGTCTGCGCTTCCTGCCGTGGTAAGAGGTAGGTGGCGCTATAAAGCGCCAGCAGCTTAGTGTGTCGAAAAGCCCCGATGAAACGTATGACAGTGACTCGTTGTTGTGGACGGATGCGGTGATTACACCGTGGACAAGTGCAGAAGTGCGGCCAGTGTCATCTGACACCACGCACTGGGATACAAAAGGACGCACGACGCACGCACGCACGAACGTAAAAAGCTTAAGGAGTGTCTCAGCACTGTTTCCATAAGTGATGCAACTATGCGCTAAGCTTTGTTCTAGTAACTGCTAACGGCTTGTTGCATCTGAAGAATTCCTCATCATTGGAAATCCCATCGATTGATGTAGTACTGCGTTAGAAGGGATCAGTCCAGTCAGCGAATCCCTTTTTATTTGAGCTCAAAGGAGGTCACGATATTATAAATATTGGGTTATTTGCCCTGATCGTCACCCTGTAAGAATACAACAAGTATTTTGCATCAGACCACGCTCCGTGATCGACCATGTACGTAGAAGTCTTGTTGTATTTCCATCTTGTAAACATAAAATAATTCTGTTTTTTGTTCCACTAATTTTGCCCACCTTTATAAACGCGCTTCAAATCATGCAGAATATCCCCACGTTCTCTAAGTGCATATACTTCCTTCATTCTTGCGAGAAGTTCATTTTCAGGCATTGGTGGGCAAAGTCCCCGACTAAGCCTGAGCCGGTGGGAGCTAAGTGCGTGCTTTCAAAAGCTGCTTGATTTATGATCTATCCAGATAGCGTGATCCGAGCACCCTACCCGTGTGGGGTGCATTCGGGTCACTTGAAGCGTTCGCTCTTTTCTCCTGAGTGGAAAAACCCGTCCTCAGTGACAGCGGTCGTGCCCAAGTTCATGTGACGTCAGAGGACAGGACGGATTTCATTTTCCATTTTGTCTGTTTTCGCAGTAATTTCTGCCCTGGGCTGAAGTTTCCTGATTTAATGGCGGGCTTAGGGCTCACCCTGCAAGCTCTGTCTATCACAGGCACTGATCTGAGATATACATCCCATTTAAAAACTCGGAGTTAGAATTTAAAAAGTGCTCATGTGAGACCTGCCCACATTTGCAGTTGTAGACTTGTGGCGAGGTAAGCCGGATACAAATCGCAAAGGTGGTAACATTTCCACTATTCGGTGCCAGTTATGGCTGAAGCATGCTTGTTTCCTCACTGAAATGAAAGTGGAAGCTGGTTGCCATATATGCCACCAAATTTCCGAGGGTATCGATCAAGATTCAGTTCCAGCAACCATGCCCCAATGCAAATTGTCTCCTCGAAGTAATTCTAAACAATTGTCCTGCCTGCTAGTGGTTTCAGAATAGCGTTTAATGAGGTCTGGAATGGAATTATTTGTTTAGAGTGAAACTTGGTGTTGGAATGATTGTTTTAAATTGAAGGTGTTCCGGGAATTTTACACCATTCTGGAATGAAGCAGGCGGCTGAATTCGCACACAAGGTGGGATTTTTGCAAATTTTTGTCTGGTTGGCATATAAGTCATCTGTCATTCACTTGATACAAATGCGAGGAAGACCTCAAAACAACGCTCGGATTCATACTACATGCAGGCATGAAATCAAAATTTTCTCAGGAAGGGAGGGGACGTCTAAACATAAAAGCTGTGTATTTCTATCAAATTCTTTAAAATTGCCCAGCTCTAGTGCCAACGGATTCGCTCAGAGGTGGGGAGGGAGGGAGGCGGGGGTGAGAGAAAGGAGGAGCACGGCTCCCTGGGCCACATTGCTGATCATGGGTTGGTTCGTCATGTAACCAGTACATCCCGTGAACAGCCCAAAGACACCGTGTACATGCTTTCATGCGATAGTTACGATATGCACGAGGCATGCAATTTTTTGTTTTTAATGTTTGCTCCGTCCATAAGCGAAGCAGTGAGGCTGCGTGATCAAGGGCGTCACCAGGAGCAAAGCAGACCGAAACGCATCTCGCAGCCAAATCGCGGGCACGTTTGTTCGCCACTGCACAGTGGACGTGAAGCTAAGTATGTTGAGAGGGGAGCAAGAGCAGCGCCTTTAGGCAATATGCATGAAATCGTCCGGAGCAATTACCAGAACTGATCGAGCTTTTGGAGCATTTTATGCAAGCAAAGTATCTTGGTGCTAGCATGTCGGATTGTTCTCAGCTCGAATCCCTGAAATAGTAACCGACCAGTAATATTGTAGATCTCACTGATCTTGCTATTAGCCAAATATTCATAGCTCTTGCTGACGGAGAACGAGTCTCTCCTCCATCGCTTTGTACAGATCCGGTTTCTGTTGGCACATCTCGGATGGATTATCAGTCATTGCTAGCTTTTTTAACTTCATTAGTTCTGAGTAGGATGGCGGGCTTTTTACGATTGCGACCTCTGGGAAAATCCTCCAGTATGACGGACTTCTTTTTGCGTTTCTTGCAAAGCCTCGCCATGGAAAGGTTCATCGAACTGCAATGCACGAGATAGAAATGTAAAGCTGACGTAGGTTATGAAATACATCATAAACATTTAGCGCGTATTGAAAGCCAAAAGGGGGCCCAAGTCGATGCGGGAACTAAAGCTTCCATTTTTTCATTTGCAGCCGTTTAATGTGGTCGTTTTTCCACTTCTAGCAGCGTAAGCCATCAGCACATGGAAAGCCTGCGTCCAAAGTCCGTCATTCTCCCCCCCCCCCCTCCCCGCACGGTATCCCCTTTACTGCATGGCTATCACGTTTTTATTGTTGAGTCCTCGGGTAACAAACAAGCAACGATATAAAGACCATCCATTGTGTTCTCATCACGCTTTATCAATATCCCACTACCAACGAGCGTAATGCAGTACAAGCTCCTGCATCTTCTGCTCATTACCGCAATCGCTGGCGACAAAAACGTGGCCGACATCAACAAACTCAAGGAAAACTGGAGCAAGTTCGTCCAGAACACGCTGGCCCCGAACACCACCTGCTACAAGACGGCGGCTGACTACGGCATCCTCAAGGTGAAGACCGACGACCCCAAGTGTGACCTGACGGCGAAGAACGCCGAGAGGAAGCTGTGCATTAAGCTGAAGGCCGGGGCCGGCGCGTGCAAGGCGCGAGCCGTGGGCGGGGAAGTAACCATCACGCTCACGGTGAGAGCTGTTGAAATCGTGACGTGGGTCTTGCGGTTGCTAGATAAACCATTGAGTGGTGGTGCGCCTCAACTGCCTCGCATTCCCTGGCATTAAGGATTTCTGCTGCATTTGTGACGTCTTTGCGCGGACGCAACCATTGTAATGAAAGGTCTTTTGCAATGCCTTCTATGCTTCAGTGTGCGCATGATATATTGAACGACGGATGCCCAAAACGGTGTTACCTATTGTTTGTTAGTTTGTTTTGTTGTATTTTAAAAGACGGTTGCAGCACGCTAACATCAATATAAACAACAAGTTTGCTGCATAAGTCGCAAGACTTGAATCTGGGCACCATTGCCATCGAAGAAACAAAACAAAATAAAGTCGCCGAAGATGGAGCTTAATTGAAGGGAATTTTTCACATTTGAAGACATTAAAGCTGACATCACATGTGATGAAATAAGTTCATGTATGATTATTGGTGTACTTTTAAGTGGAAAAACTGCTCTAGACAACATAATTTCTCTGTTTAGTAACTATCCTCATCAATACGTCACTGTTTGATTACGTCACCGTACCCTGCACAGTATTGATTAAGAGCGAGATGACGGCCGTTTTTTCTGAAAATCGTGCTCACAAACGCCAGATATGAACGACTCGACAGTTTTCTTTTTGCTGGCCTTGATCAACGTATGGCTAATAGACGGAATGACAGGATTTAAATGACCTCATTAGAGCGTCGTGGATGTCAGGGTGACCTTGAAATAGTCTCCCCGAGATAGTCTGCGCATCTCTGCAGTCGTGTAGATCAGAAATTAGAGAGGCTTATGTTTTAAGGACAGGGCTGTGAGCTACACCGAATAAAATTCAAGATGACCATTTCAGTTCAAAATCCCATACAAATGTGAAACCCTCCCTTCGCTAGAGTTACAGCGCGTTAGTGTTATAGCCCTGGGAGCACGACGCAAACATCCGACCTTCCCCTCTGCTGACGTTTGTACCATACCTTAATGCGTGTATAGTGTCGGTGTTCGAAAATAGAATGAACCAGTGATCCAATATTTGTGTGATATGCTGAAAGAGGTCGCGTCTAAAGTGTCAAAGAAGTGCACGCAAAAAATGAACTGTTTAGTTGTTTTAGATCTGTAATCAGGAACAGTCTACAATCTTGAACAACATGGGAAGTATAAACTGGGCTTGTAAATACCAATCAGGTCTACCACAGATTCCTTGATCTTTTTGCGTGATACCTGTGTGCGAAGTGCTTTGGGGAGTGTTTTCCATATGCGAGTGGTGTTTTGCTTGAACAAATGATTCCCATCCCGTTCCTGCTCTACGCCGGACCAGTATCTTTACCTCCGATGATGTGACGACATATCTATATTCCTTCATTCTAATGTTTTCCCCTATCCCTGACTCTGTCGGAGGGGACACCGGCCGAGGGGAAAAAGGGCCTATCTCCTGATGATGAATTAAAGCTTTTCGACGCATCTACCGCATACGGTCATGCAGCGCCCGGCCTCAGTCCCTATTAATGTTAAAGTTGGCCTTACATCTGCCGTGTCGCATGACAAGAATGAGCTTGAACACCTGCCCTCCGTCTTCCTCATTCACCAGCTTGCGGCGTTCTCTTGACCCGGCGTGACTCTGCAGGATGTTACCCAGTTCTGCGCTGACGCCACCACCGCTCTGCACATGCTGCTGCACAGCACGAGCACGCGGCTGGGTCACGGGGCCACGCTGCCCCAGGCAGCGCGCGCGCCGCGTCACACGTTCCTCGACCCGCTGCTGCGAGTGCCTTCGGATGACGCCAGCAGCGCTGATTGGCGCTCGGAGTCTGGCGCCGATCGCGCCACGCCGTCCGCAGACGATGATTGGCCAAATCTTGCTGTCGGCGGCCGGCTATTGGTCGACACGCTGTTCCACCCCAGTAGGCTCGGCTATCGCCTGCTGGTGACTGCTGCCGACCCGCGATACCAGGCCGATCTGCAGGTGACGACAGCGCTGACAACCGACCGCGAACGGGTGCTGAAACACCTTGATCGGACGGTGACGTCATAGATATGGGAACACGGAGGGCGATTGGGCCGTGGATCACTCTCTTTGCTAAACAGCTGGGTATCGGCCCACGTGGTTATGGATGCCCTCCCTCATCTTGTAAAATGCATATGTCCACCCACTTTGTAAGATCACTTACGCCTGCTGGTGACTAACCCAGCGTCCTGGCTCAATTTTTTTGGGGGGGGGGGAGATTTGAGACCCCCAGGCACATTTGGACGCTCAAAGCTGTGCACGCAAGGTAGAATTGGCTAAAGCCGCGAATGCGTCAGCGCAGTGGTGGTGCGTGTAGTGCTGAGTGCATCCTGGTCCAAACCAAAGGCTTTAGACTGTTTTAAACGTTGCTTTAATTCAATTTCATTCACACTGGTAAATAAAAAATATCCTGGATATTATACCTGCGCCGTGCAACTCAAGCTCTGAACAGCCGGGCATCTTTACCAACTCAAGCTACATCCAACAGGCCAGCAAAACAACTAAAAACGATCGCGCTCTGAGCCGCGTTAGATGATTGCCAACAAACACCGCCGGTCCAAGCCCTCACCCCTCCCCAACAGGTGCAGTGGATGGGCGAGCCCGACCTCAGCCACGTGACCCTCACGAAGGCCGACTCACTGCTTCTCGACCAGACTGCGTGCCGTAAGCACCGCACCGACTGCAAAGTCCGCTGCCGCGGCCACCTCGACTCGGCCTGCCACTGCGTGCAGGACTCGCAGCCGACGCTTCCCTGCATGCGCGCCACGCCCACCTCCGACGCCTGCGACCCGGCCTCTGGTGACCGTGACCTCTGCCCCTACCGCGTCACGATGGGCGCCGACCTCCACGGGCAGCTGGGGCCGGACTGCGCGCACGTGACTGCCGTGGTGAATGAGCTGCAGGGCGCGCACCCTGCTGTGCGGAGGTACCTCGAGGCGCCGCGGTACCCCTGGCGGTACCTGATGGTGACCGTGCTGGCGTGCACCGGGCGCAGCGGTCGCCTGACGGATGTGGTGGTCGGCTTCCCGGACGAGTACCGCCGCGAGCTGCGCGACGGCCGACTGCCTCACGACAGAGAGGTGGGAAACGGACATGCTCAGTCTTGGCCTGCTCTGCTGCGGTCAGTGAGAGCTCATGACAGCTCATGTGCCGCCGTGAACCTCTTTTGAGTTCCAGGATGGGCGGAAAGCCCTGCTTGCACGCAGTTGCAGCGGTTTTGTTTCTCAATAAGTCATCTCATACAGAGCGTCTAACGTGGGATGTTGCAGATTGGTAACATTTGCACACACTTCGGGGAAAAGGACGCCCAATTCTTTCAGTTTCCTAATTGTGCATTATTGATTAATTGAAAGATGACCCTAAAGTAATAACTGCTGTCGGACCCTTCCATGTTGTTAGGCGATAATCTCGGGCGAAGCGTCACCCTTGGGATGTCATGGCTACTCCCGACTCGCTCCAGGTGCTGTGTCAGATCCTACGCGTCTACATCACCAACGCCGCCTCGCTCCAGGTGCTGTGTCAGATCCTGCGCGTCTTCACCACGCCGCTGCTCCAGTGCCAGATCTGCATCTACATCACCAACGCCGCCTCGCTCCAGGTGCTGTGTCAGATCCTACGCGTCTACATCACCAACGCCGCCTCGCTCCAGGTGCTGTGTCAGATCCTGCACGTCTACATCACAAACGCCGCCTCGCTCCAGGTGCTGTGTCAGACCCTACGCGTCTACATCACAAACGCCGCCTCGCTCCAGGTGCTGTGTCAGATCCTGCGCGTCTACATCAAACGCCGCCTCGCCCCAGGTGCTGTGTCAGATCCTGCGCGTCTACATCACAACGCCGCCTCGCTCCAGGTGCTGTGTCGGATCCTGCGCGTCTACATCACAAACGCCGCCTCGCTCCAGGTGCTGTGTCAGATCCTGCGCGTCTACATCACCAACGCCGAGTCGCAGGTGCTGGGCGCTGACAGCCACTCACTACGAGTCGTTTGCTGGGACGAATTGTCTGGCACCGCTGGGCACCGGGCGGCCACGACCCGACCGCGGCGACAGCGGCCGGCCGCGAGACGCCGTGCACCTCTGGCTTGGACCGACACCGAAAGGCGTCAGCGTCAGTCTCGGCAAGCTCGTGGTCAGCTGTACGCAGTCAGGGCGTCCAGCGAGGTGGTCATGCCGTACAAGGGTGACCCAGCTGACGGCAGAGCCCCTGACGCTGGGCAAGTGTGTGGTGGAGGTGTCCGGGAAGAACGTTTCGGAGAAGAATGACAGTGACGTCACCACGACGAAGGCGCCGTTCAACTTCTCACAGGTGAGAGCCGCGTGCCGGGCCATCGGTGAGAACTGTGAGCGGGCTGTACCGATAAAATTTGAGATCCTGGCTTCTGATGGAGCTGTGGTTAGCTTTTCGCAGGTCCAAACAGTGAAAGGTTTCTCACAGCTAGGGGCTGGGACGCAGACACATACCTCATGTTCAATGCAACGAACGTGGCGGATCGCGGCGCCTCAAACGCTGCTCACCACCTGGGTCATCCGGCGAGTCGCACCGGTCACGCAGCCTGACGACTGAACGCCCTTGTGCGGGCTTACAATGCTGGGAATCCCGATGCTGTTGTGACCTTTAGCAGCCCGATGCCACTGTGCCGGTTCTCAGCGGAGGTGGGGGACACGGACAGGCACGCTGCAGCTGTGATCGGCCCTCCACTCACGCTGATTGATCATGTGGTGGCGAAGGGCAATAAGCTCGGCATCCGTCCGCACACTGGTGATGTGTCTGGTTTTTGCTACGGAAGAATAAGAAGACATGCCATGCTTCATCTTTGTTTCGTGTCACTCTAATGAACGTGCATACTGTATGACACCATGAACGAGCCCTTTGCTTGATCATGCGCCCCTGCAGGCGAGCAGTTTTTCGGCACGCAATCTTCGAGATGTGGCATGTCTGGTTGAGAAAAAACACCACAGCCACTCCTCTGCCAACCTTAGACCGTTATAAAAGCGGTCCATGTTCATGCCCGCCAGTAAGACTCCGATCAGGACCAGAGCGCAGCACAGGGGAGATAAGAACGCCACCTGCATGCCCACTGCAGCTGTTTTTTTCGCAGATTTCGAAGATCTGCGAACGACTGGTGTAAGATGAAAGCAGGCCAGTTTGTCAGAGCCTGGATGACGTAAATGCCTGGAAAATCCTACATTTCCCCGGCCGCGGGCAGCGACAAAAGCTTAACACAAGCAGGTGTGGCTGGTTTTATATAAGAGCTCCACACTGCTGGGAGCGACCAACGTCCCAGATCATTGGTGGGCTGCTGAACCTTTAACTCCGAGGCATGACATTAGATGCGGTTGGATGCACGTCGCCCATCGATTGCCTCACAGGCCCGATTGCAGCGTCGATTGCAAGCATCGATTGCCCCTCACATTGCCACTATCCAGGGGTGCGGGCATTATGAGGCTAGGAGGCTGTGCCCCGCCCCGCTCCCTCCCCCGCCCCCCACCCCTACTTTCTGGTAAGTTAGCATTAGCCTATCGACATCGACTGGAAATAACAAAACAAAGTGGCTATTACTGTTTCCCCCTCAACTTGAGTGGTAGGGTCTTCCATTATCCTTATACCTACCGTACCCCAATCTTACTGATGACTCGTTTCAACGTCAGGAAGCCAGCAAAAGAAGGCCGCTGATTCAGTCGCGTTGTTCTTTCGTAGCGAACTTCTTTGCCTTGAGGAGATCGGCATTTCGCTGGCTCGTCTACGCCAGGCTGAGGGTAAAACTCGTCGCGTTGGCTGAAAACATTCGTGGCGTAACCGAGTGTCACGAAGCGCTCCACATCTGAAGCGAAGCGTCCGGCCGGGAAGCACGTGACGTCATTCGACCTTGGTGGCTGGGGTTCCTCCCGTGTCAGAGGAGATGACGCGATAGGACACGCGCGAGGCAGTCCTTGAGCAGCGCTTAGTTGCGTCTCACTGGTTGGCGAACCCGAATGTCTTATTGTGACGATGGCAAACGGCGACTGAGCCTGACAGCGCCTCTGGGTGTCTCACTGCCCACTCGCATAAGCGTGCATACAGTCGTTTGTGAGATACACGGTGAAGCTGGGCTCGTCATAATGCGTTACATATCCACAGTAACATTTTTGCTCAGTATGAATCTCTCACGATACGCTCACGGTTTTACCTGACCTTCAAGGCGCCATCAAGGCAGCGAGGCAGCGAGCACGCTCAGTCATCTATAGGTGCATGAAAGTGTTATGGACAGGTCATTAGTGTAGCAACCTTCCACGTTCATCGATGCGGAAGTTAAAAAAAAAAATGTTCAGGAAAAGTGATTGGCCGGCGCGTGTTTATTCCTCGCGTGTTGTTATGCACGTGTTGTCTCTGAGCTGATGCCGAATGAACCAATACTTTTAATACGCCCAGGCCTCTTGGAATCTAACTACTTGAGTAAAGTGCATCTGTGTCATCTTTTTCCTTACCCCCGTGTGCAGGTCAAACGATGTGACGTACAAAGGTTTAAATTCGACACAGAGCACGTGCGCACGTGACGACGAGCCATGACGAGTTTCGTGCCGGTGTGACCAACGGGCGGTGCCTGATCGTGTTAGAAATGGTTTTTTCCGATTGGTTTGGCATGAGGGCGCAAGAATCGAGCACCGTTAATACCGGCGTACGGCCGTTCGAAACTGCGGCCGCAGCTCGGCAACCATGGGTCAGAGCGACGCTCAATCAACACGCCTCGGTAAAGAGTGAAATAAAGAATCGCGTGATGCCGCTCTTGACGCCGCACGCGCGTGCGCGCGCACGGCGAGAAAGGTATATTTTTCCGTTCTTGACCATTTTTCACGCTTTATTCCACCTCCCCGTCAGCAGGAGCCGGTGGCAACGTGAAGCCAACTTCAAATCGTCAACAAATGTACCGCCTGCTTTTCATGTAGCCAACACAAGACTGTGCAACGCACTGTTGCACCGGTAATCGTCGTGCGAGCTGGGCATGTTGAGATTCGTGAAAATGGCGCCAAATGCAACACGCTGTCGTCGAAACCATTGCCAGCATCGCATAAATTTGCATCACCGCATGCGCGGATTCATTGCCTGTAATTACCACTCATTCTTAATCATTGCGTACACCTAGCCTTTCAAACATCAAGTTCGCCCAATGGGCTACAATTCCGCTTTTCCGCGACGTCTAACTGCCATTGATCGATCACCCAATCGCCGCCGCCGAGCTATTCAAGTCAGCCGTCGGAAAACGTACGCGCTGTGAACGCCTACAACCACCGTTTTATTGGTCAATTTCATTTCATTCACTGGCTCCGGACGGTGCGTCTGGGCGCCAGTAACTGGGAAGATGAACATGTTGACCATACAACAAACAAAGGCGATCGGATCCCAATCTAAAGTGTGTTTGTGCTTCTTGCCACTGAAACGCGTCTTTTCAGATTTCTCCGTAGAAAGATGTTAAGAAATGCACAGTTCAAGTGGAAGATACGTTTCAAAGGGTCTGATGATAGGGTCCAAGAAAATGCGGCTATTTTTAGAAGCGAACGTGGACAACGTTGCGGGAGTAAGAGCGAAACGGGAAGTCACCCTGCAGATGGAAGATGCTGCTGGACAAGAAACGGGAACGGTCTACCTCACGGAGGAGTACGGGACAGGAGGAAAACCAGCGCGAGGGGCCGCCCCGTAAAAAGAGGACAGCGAGGTAGATCCGTGTTTCAGATCGGGGACGGTACCGGAGGAGGATCCAGAGTAGGGGCTGCCGGCCAGCATATGGAGGTTGGCGCATTGAGAGGGACGGAAGGAAAAGCTGCATCGTAGCAAGAGGACGGTTCAGGAGGAGAGAAGGAGGAGTCCCAAGGCAGAGAACCGTCCGGCGCGGGAGGATGAGCCACCATACAGGTGAAGGAAAGCCCATAAGGATGAGCTGGAGGAGGATCCATGTTGGATACGAAGGACGGCGTAATAGCAGGATCTAGAGTAGGGGTCGCCGAGCAGATGGGGGACGGTGCGGGAAGAAGGAGGGAGGAAGAGCTACACTGCAAATGGAGGATGGAGCAGGGAGAGGGACGGGAGGAGAGGCTGCAATGCAGATAGAGGACACTTCAGGAGGAAGGGCGGGAGGACCCGCATAGATAGAGAACCAATGAACAAACATGCTTGCTGATGGGAAGTGCTAAAAAGAAAAGTCGGCACAACTAAAAATAAGCATTAAAGTCGCCCAGTGAGCCGGCGGCCCTCACTTGAGCATTTTTTTTCACACGAAAAGTGATAAAATTTGCCAAGCAGCCTAACTTGGCTTTGGTCCCACTGCTATCGAGATTTTTAAAGTCTCCTGCAAACATGCGGAATTTTCCGAGTCTAACACAAAATTGGAGTAGAGTAACCACGGCCGACCAAGAACAGAAGCGCGCGCGCACTGATACCCCAGATAAAGTGATGCCACACAATTTGGCCCGGTTTAATGCTTCAAACTCTGGTTTGCAGCAGCTGGCCTACTCCAGATCAGGGGACTTCCTCCGGATCCGGTCTAAGAGAACGAACTGGAACCCACTGGTGTGATCAGGCTTAACGAATTCCATGCATTTGTGTGAAGCGGTTTCGGTTGCTATTCATCAGCTGACCTTTTAAGCCACTTTGGTCACACTCATCTGTTCACACCAAAGATACCACTTTTCAAAAATAATAACCTACTTCCCGGCCACCTTCGGCCAGCCAGGATTCCAGCCAGAAAAAGCACATTAAGTGCTTTGCTAACTGAAATATTATTTTGCCATTGTCCTTAATTCCAAACCTGTACATAGCGCACATACAAAGTCACAACAGTGTCATCTAATGCACATTGTTTAGCTAGCCCCAGTGGTTTTGGTTACACAGCAGCGATTAGGGTGCTTGGACAGTGGAAGTTCCATTGTGCCAAAGTAGATCTTTAACGCACGCTCAGGTCGGCGGGGTCAGTTTGAACCCCCGAAGGTTATTCCAGAATGGTTTCCAAACACCGCGGCGCGGCCGCGTGAATTAAGAAAAAATAGCGGATCGCTTGACACAAAAAAATCCAGGTTTTACCTTGCAATGGTCGCAGACCTACATCAGATCAAACTAAGGCCATGGCCTCAGCGGAGAAAATTTCTACGGAATCCTTTAATCTGATGTAACAACGGCGTAATAGCGTGCTGGACGAAGCCATACATCTTTGAGATAGTTCTTAGGCACAACACAACAATTGAATGAATAAATTCCTTTGACGTAGGGTAGCGCATGAAGTTCAGATGAAGGTTAAAACCAACCAGTTTTATTACCCCAGAGCTTGCTGTGTGGGT